AAGCCAAAGGCGAATGCTCACATGAACTCTTCCAAATTCATCTCTCTTTTGTCGTTATCCTCATCGAATGGGTGTAGTTTGTCGCATTTGTCACAGTAATAACCCTCACCCGACTCAGAGAGTCTGGTCTTGAGTGGTCGCTCAAAGCTCTTGAGGACACGAGCATATGCAGTACTGATACGCTGGAACTTGTCTTTTGCGTCTGGTGATGGATTCTTGTCTGGGTGAAATCGAAGTGCCAGTCTCCTGTAGGCCGACTTGACTTCCTCAGGAGACGCTAGCTACAAGCAAAACACGTTGTGAGCCCAGAGCACAAAAATCATTCTCAATATCATAGGGAGATACAAATAAGAAGTTAAGGAGGAGTACTTGATATTGCTACGCCGATGGGCGTAGGTCGACTCGTAGAGCAGGGCGAGTGGTGAGGTGTTAAAGCGTACCTGATTGATCTCTAGGGTATTATACGCGTCTAAAAGGTTCATTAAATTCGTTTCTGTGATATCCAAGGCTAGTTCGAGAGGGAAAGAATGTGGCGGCACCAAAGAAGCACACAAAGCAAGCCTTTGATATTTTCCCCACCAATTCAGCGATATTGTGCTTTTTTGCGCTACATCCAGAAAATGCAAATTCGGCCCATAACATGACTGATATTAGCAAGTTTTCGTGCTTTCCAACGAGAGCATGAGTTTTGGGGACTTCAACACGATCGGGGCATGCAGTTCATTTGAAGTGGCGTTACATCGGGTTCTCCAAGGTGTTAGACCTTATGTGCGGACTCTGCTGACGTAGCTTTGACGAATGGTCAGAACGTGAAAGGGGTACCTGTTGATAGCAGAGTGCGACGCGGGTAGTATCTCTCCTCACGAGGCGTTACGTTTGCACCCGTACTTCTCTTAGCACATATGCACCTCTATGCACACCACATAGCAACCGCATACGTTTGGGGTCGCCCTATTGAAGGAGTAACAGCTCGCCAAAAGCTCCCACAAGGTAGAGTACTTCTGATGCACGCGGCGCGGAGTCATTTGTTGAATCAACCACCCCCTTAGGACTTTCTTGTCGCGATCTCCCGCTAAGAATGACCCGTTCCGCACGAAAACGTCGTGATATAGGGCCTAGAATATGGCTAGACATATGTCCGCTATCCGAATTTATGCGAAATCACGTCTTTCGTTTGCATGCAATCCGCTTGGGTTCAATTATCTGAGAGTCGATGCTTATTTTCTCGGAACATGGTTAGACCGGGCGGCTCATCCCTCCCTCTTTCTTGTCAATATTGGCAGATCCTACGCGCATGACCACCCTATTCTATTTAAGGGACTATGAATTATGCATTTAGAGTCTGAAACTCGAACTGATATAGCGGCGCGGCATGAAAAGGGGGAAATACGGAGTAGGCCCGTGGTGCAAAGAGGCCGCACTGTCATCGGTACGAGCCCACATTCGCTTTCACTGGAGTGAAACGTTCAGTTCGAATCATTCTCGCTCAAATCACCCCCATTTCGAGGTTGGTCCCCTTCAGGTACCCGAAAGGTGATGTTCCATGACATTATGCGCGTGTCAACTTCTATTCTGAAGACTGACTTTTAGAGATTCAGACTCGTAATTTAATCGTCAATCATGCATTGCGCACTCTATTGTGTGCCCGGCAGATATGACGGCAGAACACCGGAAGGCATGTCATTTTTTTGGCGTACATCTCTCCATGCCTTATGGCCATAAATTGGTTGGAATAACTTCTGAGAACCATTTCTCGTTCTCTTGATTGACAGCAGTCCTATGATCTGGCGAGATGGTATAAAAGGGGGGTGGATCGTTCCTCATCGATGAGAACCACCAGACCTCAGCAGAAGATGAAGTTCTACACTCTCGCTACTTTGCTCGTCGCCAGCGTTAGCGTTAGCGCAGCTCCTGCTCCACCAACGATCTACTGTGAGTGATGTGACCCTAGCCGTAGAGGGCGATGCTGACGATTTTTCTCTTTTAGGTGGTGGTCTCTGGGGAGGAGGTAGTCCCGCCAAGTGCCCACCTGATAGTTCTTGTTACTACCTGAACAGATGTGCGTCTTCTGATTCCTTCATCTCACCGCGACCCCCACCTTCATCTGCGCCCCTTTGGCCATCGAATTGAACGTGTTTTTCATCGTTGTCCTCCCCCCCTTAAACCTTGTTGCTGACATGAACCATAGACTACTCGGTCTGTGTACCAGACAATACGTACACGATCACCTCGATCACGCGTATCACTCAGACTATCACCTCCACGGTCACTCGCGTCACGGAAACTCCAGACACCACTGTCACTCGTGTCACTGATACACCAACCGATACCGTTACTCGTAGCACGGCTTATCCCACAGATACAGTGACCCGTGCTACTGGCACTGAGAGTACCGTCACTCGCACAAGTGCATATGCATCCGAGACCATCCCTCGTGTCACGGATTCCTCATCTGAAGCAGTGACTCGTTCCTCCTACTAGCCCTAACCTACCTCTTGTTCACTGTCTTTACTCCCCATCCCCAACAACACCGTCTGCTTGCTGTTTCCTTCTCGTGTCCATCCCAACTTCGGTTATCCCAACAGATTGTGCTCAAGCACCCCGTACACTTCTGAATGCTCCCATAAAAGGGGGTCGTAGTTAGGCGTTGGCTAGATGCCATCAATACCCATCACTACGTTGGGTTAATCTTGTAAAACTCTTTCATTTCAATGCGCACTCCTTTTGTTCCAATCGGAGATATACTGCTGAGAAGCCTGCGACTGAATGAGGAAGTTGAAATTTCCGAGTGATCAATACATGCAAACAAACTTAATCTCAGAGAAAACCTTGATCTGAGATATAAAAAAGTCCTACATGGTGTAGAACGCGGTGGGCAAGCATGCCTTGGTCGGGCGCTGTTGAGCCACTCGGTAACGCGCACAGACCCCGAAGTGACTCTGACCCCTTGAACCTCGCCATCACTTGTATCTTTACAAATGGACTCTCAAATTGTAGCTCCCTCCTTTAAAGAACTATACGATAAATATCTCAAAGCCTTCAACGACCACTCTATCGAAGGAGTCAATGCTTGTCTCTCTCCAAATCTCGAGATATTCATTCGGGGCAAATTGGTGGCTCAGGCGCCCGCGCAATGGGACCAGATGAAGAAAAGTTATCAAGAGCATTGGGCACTTCCAAACTGCCGCGTCACTATCGACTATCTAGATGAGTGGTGGGATGCAGAAAAGAAGGAAGGAGGCGTGCAGGGAAAGTTGATCGACTGGCCTCGCGCTAAACTTATGGAGGTGAAGTACACCTATGGGTTGGAAGGAGACGAATGGCTTCAGAAACGTCACGAGATCGGTCAGGTTGTAGATTATGATGTGAATAGCGGCAGTCGGCCATCAGACAGTTAGGTGGCGATGTGAAGGTGAGTAATACCAAAGGAAGATAAATATAGCACTGAACTCTGCATGCTCCTCCTAGAGTGTAAATGAGTTGATTCTTTCTCTAAAAGTACATGCCGAACGTGTCGCGTATCTTTGAGGCTAGTCGTGCCGCTATCCGGAATCTTTCTGCCTGTGACAAATGATTTGCTGAAATACACGCTTTCTTCGACTTCATTCGATATATTAGCTTCGTTTCCCAGCATCAAGTTTCCTAATTCAAGCTTTCGGACCGCAGTATCCCTCCTCCACTCTTGAATACGCGGAGGGTACACTTGGATATCAATGTAACAGTTCAATGTTGGTCTAAAAATACATGCCTATTAGAGTTCATTGGACGATACCAACTCAACGGAAGAACTTTGGCATTAGCTGATGAGCCTGAGGAGGAACTCCACCCTGAGTACCCTCTAGAAATAGAACGAATCTGGGAGGGCGTCCGGCTATATAACCCTCGCTGGATGGAGGGCGTTTATCTTCTTATCTAACTTCCAAATTTCCTACCTTGTAGCTCTCATGAAGATTTCCACCCTTATTGCATCCTTGAGCTTTTTGCTCGTAGTCCGAGCCGGGCAACCTGCAATTATTTTGTGTAAGTATCATCATACTGCTATCTCACCGAATATAGCTCTGACATTTGGCATCGACCTCGGGTTGGTCTGACAGGTGGAGGCACCAACTGGCCAACTGACGCCGACATTGGAGATGCTGCCTGCCCCTCTC